AAGGAGGCAGTGAAGATCTGAGTGTAACTGCATCTCCAGTCTGACGCTCCACACTTTTCCCCAAGCCAGATATCTACCACAGATACATCAAGTGCAAACAAACTATCAGCTCATCCAACCAGTCACAAAATCATCACTCTTCACTTCTCTTATTAGCACTAGTTTAATTCTTATTTGCAACTGAAGCACTCCTTTGTGCACCAGTCAATCCTAATCTCAAATACAGAGTTAAATCCCAGATCTAATGTACATTAGAGGATGTTTTATTTTCAGTGATAGTAAATGTTTGCTATCCTTGTATCGTGTCTTAATATTTGTCCTTTTTTGATGTTGCAAATGTAGCTGCTATGAGGCAAGAAAAATGTCAGACTTGATCTAAATCGTAATGTGGTGGGAAATGGATTCATTAATCAGATGTATCGAGGACTTTCAGAGGGAGGTTCTGCAGCAAGTGCATTTGTTGTAATGTACAACTCATATGTTGACTAACAGTGGTCATATTTACGTGTTGTACAATAAAGGCTGGCGGTGAAATGTCTGAGGTTATCTTGAAGTACTGTGTTGCACTGAGCTCTATTGCTTCCTGCAGGTTGCCCTAAGCCCTCACTGGTGTGGAATTCTGAATAGGAAACCTGACCTAAAGCAAACATATAGTGTAACTGGAAACTAGAGACACATTTGTTGTGGAACAAATGAAAAATTAATTGGATTGTCAACTACAAGTTCAGGTTGGGTCAGGAAGAAATACTTTCCAAACTGGTAACTGCTGTGTTATACCTGACAGAATAGCAGGTATAGGTATACAATATTCACATTTAAAAAAAAACGACATTACTAAAATGTGGGCTGCCTTTATGCCCACGTCCTTATCAGAAACGTCAGAAACAATGCTTGATGTGTTTTTGGACGTAATATGGTCTTTGTTTACATTAGCAAGCATGCTAACACTCAGAGCTAACCTGTACTGGAGAGAGTAGTGTGAAGAAGCAGGAAATAAAAAAAGGAACTCACCTTGTGGTAAACCCACGAGAGAAAAAGCATTTGAGCTCCATATTGTTTCAGAAATAATCCTTGATGTGGTTTGGAACATAATATGGCGTTTAGAGAATCTGCTGAGTTATCAGCCTTCTCTTCCCTCTGCAGCTCATAGTGTGCCTGCGTGCTCCAAAAGGGGCGGGGCTAGCAGTTACAGACACAGAATCAGCTCTTCTATAACAGGGCTGAAATAGAAGGATATGAGGGATGTCTGAAATGCATGATCTGTTTGGTATTTTGAGCAAAACACATCATAGACATGTTTTTTATATATCTGAGACCCATAATATATGCCTAACAATATCATGATAGGTGACCTTTAATCGAGCCAGCTAACTCAAAGAAACCCTGGCTCTATTGAACTCACTTCGTAGGTGGCGGGACATGTTGTCCAACATGATGACAGCTTGGTAATAGGGCAGTAATGTGCATTATAAAAATATGTTTACTTATATTTAAATTGCCTGAGCTCTTTTGAAGCGTCTTCAGAGGCTGACAGGTATAGGGTGAGGATGCCGTCGCCATGGCAGCAGTGTCAACCCACCTGAGTGACGCAGTGTGGCCCTGTCAGACGCATACATCACGCTGATGTTTGTTCATTTCCCCGCTGAAGACCTATATATAGACGCTGACAGGGAGAGATACAGCACACAGAATGGCATGTCTGGGAAGCATTCTATCTACTGTCGCTGCTAGATCTGTCATACTTCAATATCCACTGGATACAAGTACAAGCTGACGTTTGAGCTGTTCTGTATGTTTAGGAATATGTATGGAACAGTATAGCAAAAAGAGCGGATACAATGCTTAGAAATCAAGGAACATATAGGGATGTAATAAGATTTGTTTAAATCTACCGGCATAATGAAGATAACCCCAGACTGTGTACGTCTTCTGTTATTCCCATTAGTGTTGACTTCCTGTCTGTCTTCTTCTGCTGTTCCCGTTAGTGTTTACTTCCTGTCTGTCTTCTTCTGCTGTTCCCGTTAGTGTTTACTTCCTGTCTGTCTTCTTCTGCTGTTCCCGTTAGTGTTTACTTCCTGTCCGTCTGTCTTCTTCTGCTGATGTCTCTTCTTCCAGATCTCTTTGTCTTTAACCTAATTCCCTCTTTTGGACTATTGTTTTGGTTGTTGTTCACTTTTAAGATTTGAATGTCCACAAATACAAAAGTGTACATTCAAAGTAGTGAAGTATTCCATGGTCTTTTCTGTTCAGATTGCCTTAGCAGCGGTAAAGATGAGATCAGAGCTACGTCACTGCCTGGCCACTTTCTGATGAAAACAAAGAATCAGCACCAAGCGGAAAAAATGATAATACCTAAGAGCTGCGTTGTGTTTTGCACGTCAAACAAAACTAGTAGAAAATATATATAATGCATTCAAATATAACACTAACAAGCCAAGGAAATACCAGTTTCAGTGTTTGCCTGCTGCAGACTGACATCGACCCTCTAATGATTTACATTCAACCAGAAATCAACGCTGATCATCAGTGAAGTTATGAAACTGTTCCGGTGATGACGTATAGTTACCTTCTTTCAAAGTATAATCAGAGAATTGAGATCCATAAACAACAGATTTTCTTTTCATTTGTGGAATTTGTTTGAATATTTGCTGATCATTTTGCTGCTCATTGTGGGTTGGCAAGTCTTTTTTGCATTTGTGAAAGGTGTTTCACGTTTACACACGGATTATATTGATAATATTGAGAAAATCTACATTCATAAAAAAGATACATCTCTTTAAAAGCCACTGCTTCACATTCAGAGTATGTTATTGCATGATTACGTTTCCCAGACGGTTCAGGGATTCAAAGCCACCTCACATGGAATCTACTTCGTAGCCTTAACCAATGACATCTCTTTCTTCTAAAACAGTTATTGTTTATTTTATTACAACATTTCAGCAGGGCTGTGGGGAAACTGTTTGTTGTAGCCATAACGTCTGAGCTGAAACAATTAGATGATTAACTGATAAGTCATTTCACATACTGTAAAATGAATTTTGCAAATAGTTTAAAATGGTTACATTTTCAAGCTAAATTGTGTGGTTCTGATCTGTTTGAGAACGAGTAGGAGAGACAGATAAAAGAAGGAAAGAAAAGCCCAGTTTTAGTTGTTTTTGTATTATATTATATTTATTTTTGCTCTAGTTTTCATTAATATAATAAGCTGTGATTCCTAAGATGTTAACTATGGGACAATTTAAAAGGATGTTTTACTTTTTGGGATATTTTATAGGTAGTTAATTAGTTATATTAATTTAAATGTATTATAGCCGTTACACCTTCAGCTATCGGGGGGGATCAAACCAATCAGTTCGTCTGAGTTATATAAAACCAATTAATGTTTGTAGTGTAAATAGATTTTTCAGAGCAGCTCATTTGTTCAGCTTTGACTCACTGTTGTATTTCTGAGAGCGTACACATCAGCTGACACTTTAACTGCTATTATCTCGTACTGATTAACAGAGTGCAACTGTTATCTGTGATTACACTTACACAGACACTTCAGCTTATCCACTGCTTACTGATCACACTTCAATTACATCTCAATTCTTTCTGTCGCTTTACTTCCCATGTTTCCTTCTCACAATGTGCTCATCAAGGCCCAGTGGGGCCTCTTCTGGGAGAGCGCTGCGCAGAACCACCGCACACATGTTTTCTCATGTGGTTTCATAAAACATTTTTCCCAGTACTTTACAATTGGGGAGAGGGTTTTCTTGGAGACAAATAAAATTGGCATTTTATTGTTAGCCTTCAACAAAAAAATATTGTTTTACAGACATATCAATCTGCCTTTTCACAACAGGCCTGGTGCTGCTCCTTCACCAACAAAAGGAACCCCCCCCCCTCTCTTTCCAGTCACATTTAAAACAGACAGCCCAACATCCTAATGCAATCTGGTCAATCAGGTCATGAATGAGAGTGAACAGTTAAACAAAGTTCTAAATCAAATCATTATTTAAAAAAATATTGTACCTTCAAAAAATAAACAATATCCGCACAAAACTGATCGTTTTTAAGTTAATTGGCAAACATTACATCACACATTATCCAACCAATAACATCCAAGACTCCACCTAGGCACCTACTCATACAGCTCATACAGTATAAGGAGGACTTTAGAGGCTCCTCTTTGAGCGCTGGCACAAGATGGCCTCCAGAACAGAAACACAGAACATGGGGATTCTTATCATGATTGTGTACATTGGTATTAGAAACCTTAAATGAAATAAATACAATTATGATGAACATTGATGGTGAGGGAGTTTGTGCCTCCTCACAGCCCCCTTGCTTTTATTATCTATTTGTGCTAGTTTTTGTGACATCGTTGTTTCACAATGAACACCAATTGGAAGAAACTTCCTCTCAAACTTATGGAGATAAAAGTACAACACTCACCTTCAGCCAATAATCAGGGTCCATTGCCAATATGCTCAAACAAATATGCTTTTCACCCTTTGTTATGACCATTTCTGTCTGAAAAACATGGCACACATCACAAGGTTTTCCTCCATTTATCTACCGTTACTTCACCAAGTTGAGATATTTTCAACTTGAGTAGCTCTGAGCAGACACATACAAAAGCAGGAGCGCTCAGAAAAAATATTTAGTTCTCAAGGCGACAGCATGGGATGGCATTTGGTCTGTCTTCATTGGAGGCAATTCAATAAAGGATGTTGCAGCTCAGAAAAAGGCCCTTCATCTGGACACACCAAGGCACTAACTGATATCTACATTATTGAAAACTAAATCCTACATAGATTCATTTGAAATTCAGTAAATGAAGGGCTCATCATAACACATTTTTTAACTGAAAAATAATGTTCAAACCCTTTTAAGTGTTCAAAACTACAATTATCTACAATGGGTACAAGATAACACACATTCTTGGCAAAGTGAAGCTTTTTTTGTGAAACTGGACTTATTTAAATACTGATCTTAATGTTTTTCTGTTTACACAGATGGCCTTGGATTCTGTTTCTGTTGTAAAGCTGTGTCCATGCAATCACATCTCCCCAGTTAGCAGGTAAGTGAAAAGTTGTAAAAGCTGATGTTGGCAAAACTTTGTAGAAAAAAAGACCTTCATTTCAATGCTAACCTGCTCATCATTATGAGAACACAAATCAAAAGTGCTTAAGTAGACGTTGGAATATTCTAAGTCGATCATTACTTTCCTGGATGAGATTTGAGTTTGCATGTTGTAGAACTTCAAAGTGCTTTTAATTCCATTAACACTTCAACACTTCAACGTTTTTCCGTTTAGGACTTATGAGATAAACCCTAATGCTCCACAGAGTGCTGGATTTGAGAGCTTAGGTTTTAAGGAGGATGAGTTCTACCAAAACTCTGAACTCAAGGCTTTCCAGGTGATGTTTTGGGTCTGTGAAGAGCTGCATGACTCAGTGAGAGCAGAACGCTTCAGACGTGTGCAAGCAGTAGCCGTCTAATCCACTGATGGGCAGTGTGTATGAGGCTTAAGCCGGACCTGATGAGGAGAGGCTCTTACAGACCGAGACCACCATGATCTAAGTCGGCAGCCGGCGCGGCGGCGGATTGAGGTCACGTCAGCCTAACCACAGCAAACAAAACTTACTGCAATTGGCTGCGCTTGTTTTACGCTGTTCTGGTGACTGGACATTTTGCGAGTTCGGGTGAGGAAGCTTAGAGAAAAATATCACTTCTTCTTCTTCTCTTCCCACTTGACAGTTCCAGCATTTGTTGCTAGAAACATGTCAAATAATAAATAACTCACAATTTGATTTCCAAACCGTCTTTTGGAAGATTTCTGTCAACAAACATGAATGGATGTGACACGTTATGGGGGGGAGGATCATAAGAATAACCTAGCTTAAACGTGCATACACCCGCTAACACACTGAACTAAACTTGACAAAAGTTAACTCTAACTAAATCAAAATCACACAGAAACCTTCTTAAAAATGCTTGACATGTTAAGGAATAATTAAAACCACATTAAATGTGTTTATTCATCAACAACAACTTGGAAATTAATTTAAATGAATACTGCTAATCAGCAGGTATGTCAGCGGAGACAAAAGCAATCAATCTCCGGATTAAGACTATCTAGTAGATAACAGTTCAACACTTTTAGACATTTAGTATGTCAAACATTTTAACTACATTACCCAATTTCATAGTTGTATTCAATCTTTGTATGTATAATACAAAATGTTATTTTTTAACCTTATAACATATTTTAATCACCATTAAATTAATCGTCCTTCAACTTATAATGCAGGCTATTATTGTATCATATTTCAACCTGCCACAGATATGGGTATCATTTGTATGAATAAAGGACTATCTCTTCTTATCTTGTAGCATGAGGAAAGGGACGCAGAGCAGAGGAACAGGACATGTATATTTGTGACAGGGATATTTGGATGATAGCCAGAGCTCCATCAGGATTTATTGAGCTGCTTTGTGTTGTTTATCCTCTCAGAAGAGCCGCGGTGCAGGTTCCCTTTTCATCTGACAGCTTTCAGAGCTGAGTAGAGGAGGATCCGCTGAGAGCTGTCAGTGTGTCAGCCGAGCCCCCAGAACTCATCCTGTGACGCTCCACAAGTTATCAATACATTGTTTATACTCTCTTTCACAAAGCTTTTCTTGGCCAAGTGTCATGGGGTGTTGACAGCTAACGTAGAGATTGAAGATCTAATTTAGATGGAAAACGCCAACCTTATTTTATCACTGAATGTGTCATTAATGATTTATTTATGATCTGAGAGTTTGCATTATTTTAAGTGAATAGTTTCATATAACAAGTCATTCAGAAGCACTTGTTCTAATTATTTACACACGTTACAACACTCACACACAAGCTTGAAATTCATCCATACAGTACATGAAGAACTGAATCCTCCCATCCCCTATTTTATTTTTTCAAAAACCTGGATTTCTAAACTTTTGTATCATTATAAGCACATTTCCTAACTACTTCCCCTTAAGGTGGGAAAAACCCAGCCCCCAGGAAGTGAAATACATGTTCATAGTCGCCAAATGGTAGTACTACACTCAGTGTCCGTCCACAATGTCCCAAAAATACTTTTTCCTATTGACTTACATTGGGAAAGATACGTCTGTAAATCAGTGTATGTTTTGGGATGAAAGATGTCGAATGTGCTTAAAGGCGAATCACAAGTTCTTATTCCTCTGAGTCAAGACTGGACGTGATGTCATTTGTTTGAATCATTTGGATGTTCTTTTAGAGCTTCAGATGTTGATGCTGTACTAGTTTATTAAAGAACTATAAAGTTAACATTGTAATTGCAGATAAGATAATTGTGTGCGTTTTAGGGGGGTTACGAAAAATATTTTTGTCAACATATTTTACAAGACTAATATTTGCTTTAAATGTGTTTGTTTTTGTGATTAATGTTGTGTACCAGTGTTACAAGTTGTTATGTGAGCTAGATTTGGTTTTGGACTTGGCGTTTTTGAGCACTTGTCAAAGCGCTTGATAAATAAAATATATTATTTTTATTATAATACTGCCACAGATTGGAGGCACCAAAAAGGCAAGTGCACATGTTGCATTAAAGTCAGCGTTTCAGTTTATTCAGTGGAGACTTTCAAAGGAATGAACAGGTCACCGCCTCCACGCTGCGTCTACCTCTCTTCATGCATCCATAAGGAAAACAGATACCGTATCTTTAACATGAACCCATTTCTGTTTCTCAATCCCACAGCACAGCAGGCACGTCAGGATGCTGCATGGAGCCAAACACTCTCATTGTTACATTGTACTCATACCGCTGATGTACTGCCTTGCATTGCAAAATGACTGCGATATATCAAGTAGAAGGAGAGAGGATGGTAATAGGATTATTGATAAATACTAATGATTCAATTACTCTAGCAAGTTGTATATGTTATGGCTTTCAAAGCGTGCTGTGTCGAACAGTGACAGGGCCAACAGGATACACATGGTGATCTACCGGCTTATTAAACATTCTCCATTTCAATACTTGCCTCTATGGAGAACATGTTATACATTGTTCATGTTAACTACAGTTTGATGTTATACAAGAGGTGGGCAGAAGGCAGAACTAGTGGGATCTCTCTGCAACGAGATAATCCTCTTCCTGGTTGTTGTGCGAGGGCAGTATACATTTTAAGATTAAGTGCGTTTTTGGGCTTCAAAGAATCTACAGTATAACAACATTGAATGTGAGTTTTGTTTAGTACATTATTCCAAAATGGTAAGTCTCACTGTTAGCCCCATATTCACAGGATATATACAAACCCCAACAGTCTGTATTACTTACTTTAGAGGTAATCATTTATAATGTACCATCTTTCAGTGGTGTAGCTGGTACAGCAAGTGTGGGATTGTGCACCTTTGACATAGACCTACAAATAAATGATATTAGCACCCTAAAGGAGACATCCTAAATGCTGCACATTCTACAGTTATACAGATATACTGAACTGCAATACTAAGTGATACACAGCCTGATTTATTTATTATGTTCTCACCTGAGTATTTATTCTTCAATTAGTTCAAGCCAATGTCTGTGTGCTCTAACCAATTAGATGTGATCGACATACTTAGAGCAGCCACTTCATTTCCAGTGCTCTGTAGCAGTGTTGGTTTATTTCAGCAGTTAACTCTGTAAATATATATATATATATAAAACATTAAGATAACACAGACCTTAATGTCCTAAAGAAAGCTGCCTTTGACTTAAACAGTGTCTGCTTTACAATTGTGTCCACTCCCTTTGCCACATGTGTGGTTATTGTGCCACCATGTTTCATGTCCCCTGTCTTTATCCCGCCTACAAGGCTCCGTTTCTTTTCAAGCGGGGACGCAGCTGTTTAATCAGCACAACGGCAGAATTATTAATAACGAAGTGTTGGTGGGAGACCAGAGGTCTGTAACCAGGCTGCTCTTTTAAGAAAAGGAAAGGCCTTGTGTTTCTTTCAGCTTTCTCTTGTATGTCTTGTTGCTGTTGCTGTGCAGATAATGTGCTCCCATTCTGGCTTCACTCTGATGATTAGCGCTGGCAGTACTACAATGTTCAAACACTGAACAGTGGGGGACCGTTCAAGGGCGGCTAATGCATTTGTTTGCCGTTCATATTCCGGAGAGGGAAGTGTGTTTAGCATAAGAACACAACTGGGAACATGGCGTCTTGTGATGAGCGTCCGGTCTGATGGAGCTGCAGAGAGATGTGAAGGTCCTCAGTGCTGCTGTGGGGGGGTCTTCTCCTCTGCAGCTGGGTGCTGATATAACCAGCTTCCCCGTGCTGCGCACTGTACCTGCCTCCACTCTCAGCTCTCATATGAAAGACAGTGTGAACAGTGTGTAGGTCAGCACCTTTGAAATCACTCTTTGATCTTATTCACCAATGTGGGCTTAAAAAAGCGTTGCTCTTCTGATTTCCAAAGGATTCTGATTACAAAGGCACTATTTTTCTTGCAAGAACTCTTTAATAATTCACATGGTATTTGCATGTACAGTACAGTACTTACTGGTAGACATGTGCCTTTTCTGCACTTCTGGTCTATAGAAGTGAAAAAAAGCACAAAAAGCAGCATAGGAATAGGAGGAAGGTGGGGCCCAACGTCTGTATAAAGAGTTATTTTGTAGCTAAGTAGGCAGCAATTTTAAGGATTATTTTTCATCCCCACTGAGTCAAAGTGGTAGGCTCCATTATCTCTGATGAGTCTGACACTTGTTGGTGTTTTCAAGCAATTAACACCCCTCCACCTTTCCTTTACCTAAAATGATACATGTCAGGCCATTGGGTGTCTTTGGAGTCTTTGGGTAATGGCAGGTTTTCTTAAAGTTCAGTTTGTGTCAGACTGACTTGAACCACACAGCTTTGATGGTTAGGAACCACTCTGAGGGAAGAATTGTAAAGGTGCAGCAGCCTTGAACAATCCCTGATGTTAGATAGAATGGGAGGGATGAACCCCTCTGTAATGGCTAGTGATGTGATGTATACTTCCATGGCTGCTTGTCAAACTACTGTGTTAGGTGAGTTAACTGCTACATTA